TAACAAAAGCTTAACATTAAATGAACATCGAATAATTAAAATACCATAATATAATTTATTATACTAATATGAAGGCCAGACCTGCATGGATCCAGGATTTTTTCATCAGAGGGGGGCACAAAATTTCATAAGTGTTAGTTTATATTATAATTATTATAAGGGGTTTTGCAGTAGAATGGAGGTGGAGAGACATAGTTACATATAAGTAAGATTTTCACTAAAAAAACTTAAATGTCAATCATTATTTTTTATGATTTCCAAGGTCAAAATACAAAATTAAAACCTGCAGACATTTAAGATAATGCTACAATCACAGTCAGAGATACCATCTCAATGAATCACCTATCTCTACAGATACTACACCTACAATCTGTTGTACAAGTTATTACATATTTTTATAGATAACCTCATTATGAATATTCAATATTCACTGTCTTAAATCAAGAGCATAAATCTACTGTCCTTCAATATATTTTTTTTTAATTTGGTTGGATTTTAGGTTATCCCAAAATAGCTGGAAAAGGTCCTGTAACTAGTATTCACCAGATGACATAATTTTACAACTTTGACATTTTAACATTTTAAAATAGATTTCAATTGCAAAAAATGAAATATCAACCTATTTTAGAAGAAGTGACCTTTAATGTTCTTAAAATAGAACTGAACAGCGCCTGATAATTTTATGATATATACATGGACATTTTGATTTCTGATCAGGCAGAATGTAAAAATACAACATTGCTTTCGATGACCTTGAAGTTGATAAAGGTTACTTTCTCAAATTAGCATACAATTAAATCTACATAAGCTATCAGTGTCAACTTAAACAAAACATACTTGAAAGTTTCTATAAATTGATTAGCATTATTCTGGTTAAACATTTATTCTGGTTAAACATTAAGTCATACACATTGTTAAGTTCATCACAACAGCAAAAGGTTTATAATACAATCACTGTACAGCCAGCATCGTTGGATACCCATGGCCAAGCCATTTATCAGCTGTGGGATTTTTCGCTGATATCCAGTTGATAAGAGGTGTGTCAAAGACAGCTTTTTATTGGTTGCCTCAAGATTTCATGAGGGTATTAAAACCAATCAAAACACTTATTCTATACGATGTACATGTTATGTAACATGTTAATCAATCGTGCATATCCCATGATGTACAGCCAGCATCAATTGTTTATTGTTACTGAATTATAACATGCTTATAGTCAACATTAGAGAGGAATTCTCACAAAAAGGAACAAGTTCTTTAATGTAAGGAATCTACTGATTTTGCTGGTATATGTAGTCAGTCATACAGCAGTATAAACAGATGTCCCATGCAGGATTTGAACCCGCACATATCATTGCCATTGGTTACTATATGTGAAAAATGAAAAAGATATAAAATAATCCAGGTACTACAACCTGCTTACTCATGCAAATTTTCATTGTGACATTGACCTGGCTTCAAGCATGCACTGCAGTATTAGATTTTGCATACAAGTTTTTTTATTGCAAAGCAAATTTGATGAACAGTATGAAACCAAACAACTATATTTACATGTATATATATATCTATATATCTAGAGATCATTAACAAAAGTTCATGTCTTAATAATGTTTCAAATTACACTGACACTATTTATAAACTAGAAACTATGCATGTGGAGTGGTAATCTTAAATAAGTTAGGATAACTAGTTACTTGACACGCTGGGTTATCATAATACATTTGTATAATGTACATCTCACTGATATAAATATCTCACGATGATAACACATATAAAACTGAATGGAAAATTTTTCAACTACTTTTCAAGCAGGCAAGAAGTTGATATTTTAATGGGGCACTATTTATGATTTAAAGAACCAATTAAGAATTTTTCCAAAAGTTACTCTTCTGACATTCAACATTTAATTACATGTATATTGAAAGAAAGACTGGGTGCAATATCACAGCATTAATTAAATATGTATGCAGGTTTAATATCATTTATTGCGAGAATATAAACATGTACTTCAATGTCTGTGATTTATTGTGGCCACATTAACACATGCTACCTTGGATCACTGTTTGATTTATTGTGAGCACATTAGCACTTGCTACCTTGGATCACTCTATGATTTATTGTGAGCACATTAGCACATGCAATTTGTTCACTGTTTAATTTATTGTGAGCACATTAGCACATGCAACTTGGATCACTTGTTTGATCTATTGTGAGCACATAAGCACATGCAACTTGGATCACTGTTTGATTTAATGTGGCCACATTAACACATGCTACCTTGGATCACTGTTTGATTTATTGTGAGCACATTAGCACTTGCTACCTTGGATCACTGTTTGATCTATTGTGAGCACATTAGCACTTGCTACCTTGGATCACTCTATGATTTATTGTGAGCACATTAGCACTTGCTACCTTGGATCACTCTATGATTTATTGTGAGCACATTAGCACATTGCTACATGGGATCAATGTATGATTTATTGTGAGTACATAGCACTTGCTACCCGGGATCAATGTATGATTTATTGTGAGCACATTAGCACTTGCTAACTTGGATCACTGTTTGATTTATTGTGAGCACATTAGCACATGCTATCTTGGATCACTGTATGATTTATTGTGAGCACATTAGCACATTGCTACCCGGGATCAATGTATGATTTATTGTGAGCACATTAGCACATGCTACTTTGGATCACTCTATGATTTATTGCGAGCACATTAGCACATGCAACTTGGATTACTCTATGATTTATTGTGAGTACATTAGCACATGCAACTTGGATCACTATTTGATCTATTGTGAGCACATTAGCACTTGCTACCGGGATCAATGTATGCTTTATTGTGAGCACATGAGCACAAGCTAACTTGGATGACTCTATGATTTATTGTGAGCACATTAGCACTTGCTACCTTGGATCACTGTTTGATTTATTGTGAGCACATTAGCACATGCTACTTTGGATCACTCTATGATTTATTGCGAGCACATTAGCACATGCAACTTGGATCACTGTTTGATCTATTGTGAGTACATAGCACTTGCTACCCGGGATCAATGTATGATTTATTGTGAGCACATTAGCACATGCTATCTTGGATCACTGTATGATTTATTGCGAGCACATAAGCACTTGATTCCTTGGATCAATATTTGATCTATTGTGAGCACATTAGCACTTCCTACCTGGGATCAATGTATGATTTATTGTGAGCACATTAGCACTCACTGTGTGATTTGTTGTGAGCACATTAGCACATGCTACCTGAGATCACTGTATGATCTATTGTGAGCGCATTAGCACTTGCTAACTTGGATCACTGTTTGATCTATTGTGAGCACATTAGCACATGCTAACTTGGATCACTGTTTGATCTATTGTGAGCACATTAGTACTTGCTACCCAGAATCAATGTAAGATTTATTGTGAGCACATTAGCACTTGCTAACTTGGATCACTGTTTGATCTATTGTGAGCACATTAGTACTTGCTACCCAGAATCAATGTAAGATTTATTGTGAGCACATTAGCACTTGCTAACTTGGATCACTGTTTGATTTATTGTGAGCACATTAGCACATGCTACTATAGATCACTGTATGATTTATTGTGAGCACATTAGCACATGCTACTATGGATCACTGTATGATTTATTGTGAGCACATTCTATTTACACGTAACTTGAATCCTTATTTGTTATCATACAGAAAGTAGAAGTGTTATTAACCCACTGTGAATTTAATTACATACAATAAATAGTTTACATGCAGGTAACAAACAAACCCAGTGAGGAGTGTGACAACACTATTGTTGATATCTAATACAGAATAATACAAAGGACAGTGGTATTGTCACAAACACTAAGCTTATATGAATAATTTAACGTGGACATGACAACATTTATGTGCATACATCATATATGTATACCATTGGGTAATTATGCTGCATCAACAAAAAGATCAATCTCATTATTGAAATAGTAGGAGACTGTACTTCTTGACTGTTATTGCAGATGTAAATAATTTTATCTTGCAGATGTAAACAATTTTAACAACAATTTTATTACAAAAATGTGAAGTTTACATATCACTGATGATCAGTAGTATATTTCTGTGCAGAATAGATAAAATAGAATGCACAGTTTCAATATCCTTGGAAAGTATTTAACTACTGGGCTTGTCTTACCATGTTGCCTCTTTAAATAAAGTTATAATTATTACTATCATTATTATTTTTATCACTGACCATTTTAAATAACCAAGTAATATGTCATGTTGAAAATATTGGAAAGTAAGAGATCAATTCAAGGCAATTGATCCTGTCAGTATGTATTTACTTATCATAGATTTATGTTTATATATTTATGATGGTCATGTAACATAAACATGTTATAGCAATATAAATATATTGATATAGGATTCCAATGATAAAATTACCCTAAGGATACAAAACTTGCTGTAAGTGTTTAGAAATCTGGTACATTTTATTTTCTATCATCTCATGAGATTTGTTATAAATGGAACAGAGACAATGTTTCACCAGACAAGTACATGTACATGTACAATGTATAGCTGACTGAGACAGAAATTAGTTTAGTATATGCTAACTTTTTTTAGTTTGATTTTGTTGGAAGCTACTGTATAAGCTTATTGAAACACTTTTGAATCAATTCCTGTAACCAACCAGTTTTAAGCAATCAGAATGAGTATAAAATTTTTTGCTCACAGAAACAACAACTTTCCCCTGATGGGGTCTGAACCTTACGCTGCCAGCAATCTTAATAGATTACTAGTCTGATGTGTTGACCACTCGGCCACACGGAGACAGAAATTCAGAAGTCCAAATGATTCATCTACTTATAGCTCAAAGAATGCAAGAAAAGGCAAACTGATGTCACACTCCACAAGTCTGGAGATTTGTGTCACAAGGTGTAAACTATCTCATACATACACACATAAAAAGTTCATAAACATGACAAATATGTATACTTACCAGATGAAAAAATGGAACAAAATATCCAAACAGCGCCACACCAAGGGAGACAACCCATGTAACATACGCTCGATTCTTCCATATTTTCACATTAAGGAACTTTTTAGTCCATGTACAGCAATCATTACAGTGCTCATATACACTTTCTGTAGACAGTGTCATAGCTGCAAGATGATCTTCTTTAAAAAACAATGGTTTCCACGACAACGAAAATATGATTAACATAAAATGAAGACCTGCTAAGAATAGAAAACAGTACTTAATGTCCACCTTTGACAAAAGATATGGTAAAATCCTAGTTAATCCTATGGTGAACACAGAACTACCAAATGAAACTATTCCGTTGACTAGCCCCATATGTTTCCTGAAATAATGTCCAAGAATCACAAGGGATGGGGAATAGACCATCGAAGACCCCACACCAAGAATGAGCCCGTATGTTACATATAGTAACTCCAGCTTTTGTATGAAGGCTGTTGCAATAAGTCCAATTGTTGCAAGGACCGCCCCAGTTACAGCAGTCTTGCGTATTCCAAATCGGTCACTCATAATGCTTGATACAGTACACATCAAAAATGTAACCCCGGTACATGTTGAACCAACAAAAGCTGAAACATATAAAATAAAAATATGTTACTTCATTTACTTAAATATTCATCTTTAGAGGTTCTTCATGACCAAATATATAAACATAAATATATATAAATATAAACAAAAATAAATACATGTATAAATATAAACATGTACGGTACCTATACTGGGCTATGGATAAAAATTTTCTAGTTTTAGAAAAGTTAATTAGATACAGCTGATCAATGTATTATGTTTAAAAAATATATATATATATGACCTTTTTTGGTTTGGTTTTATGTTGCATCATAGAGGTCACTTCCCTGCTGTATTGTTTCATTGGTGTAGGAAGACCTCAGATACATACATGTATATTACATGTGTATCTGTATAAATGACTTACTTTTTTGCTAAATACATGTTATTAGTACAAAATATAAAATGTAAGTAGTCAAAGTTCTGTAAATTGTTACAGCCTTCTTCTGGGTAATTAATAATATCTACTTGGTAAAATAAATTTCTTTTTCCATTTATAACATTAATATGCCAAATGTGATTGTATGAATTCAATTTGAATTTCTTCCTTTCAATATTTAAAGAATAAAAAGCTTTCTTCTTACTCTTCAAACTGTGTTACTGTCATATTGCACCTTATTATTTCTTTAGTAAACATCTCTTCTTTCAGTTGACATAAAAAGTATGACCCATATATAACCCATATATAATGTTAACTTATTATATATCTATAAATAAATTATAAAAGAGTAAACTAAATCATCAGACATCTACAGTTTCATGCTGGCTGTGAATTTAAATGGTTGGATTATAGATACCTGTACAGTAAAAATACAGACTAAAAGTCATATTAGATTGTGTAATATAAAACTAGAGTATAAACAAAATATTAAGTCTAAACTCCTTATCTTGCTAACATTATAGTTTTTTACATGGTCAAATATAAATGGAAATTAATGGTCGTAACTTACTCTATTTCATTTGCTATACATTTCTTTACAAGTACAATAATTTAATTACCGGGTACCTTGTTACATGTAACAAATTGATCAAAATAATCTTAACAACTGCATTGTTTTTGTTGTTGATTTTTTACTGAATTATTTTTAATTACCAGTACATTACAATCCATTAAAAAAAATTCCACAATTATAGAACTCATTTCAGAATATGTATTCATTATCATTTTATGCAATTAATGTACATTGTAAGAAATCAAATCATTGCATTTTTTAAGCAGCATTTTCTTAAACTAAATTACTTAAGATTTGTAAGATGTTTCTATTATAAATTTGTCAATCTAAATATTATAAATAAGAGAATCACCATAAATGATATATGAGATCACTTTAAAGTAGATTGGTAGATTAATAAAAGAAAATACGGATCTGGGTTAAGTGCTGACTTACAATTACCATACGATACTATGAGTCTTAAAAAAAAAAATTATGCTTCACCTGGGACATAGATACATATAATGCATTTGCTTCTGGTTTACATTTACATATTATATTTACTGTATGTAATTTTTACTTGTGTATTGAGAAGAATTTAAAATGAACAGTATACCTGTTTTCAATGAAACTTCTGGATCATCTTTACTGTAGTGATCACGCATTTGAACATAGACAATTCCAAATGTATTTATGATACCGAACACTGTTCCATTAGCCCACAAAGATGTGAGGCACACAATCCAGCCCCATCCACCATCAGGAGGTACAAAAGCATCTTGATTACTGTTAGACTTGACAGCTTCAGTTTTATCTTCTTCTGTATGCAACAAGTCATTGTTCTGCAAATCATTTTGGTCTGTGTTCTTTTTCTGCCAAAAATACCTCTTCTCAACTTTACCTGATTTTCCCATTGTATCCAGTATTTTTTTATAATCCAAGAAAAGTAATTATAGATTCTTTATCAATTTACATTACAAGTTTCAACTCATTATTATGCTTCAAGTGAAGTGTTAGATTTAATCACTAAGTATATATAATTGTACTACACTCCTCTGCCTGCATAATAATTTGTGAAGCAGGTCAATTTGTGAAATGGAGATAGTGTAATCTGCCTTATGGTAACAAGTGTAATTTTATATTATATTACAATATGTAGTACTGTACTGTACTGTCAATATTCTAATTTCTACCCACAAATCTTGATAATCCGTCTGCATTGTTTTAAACTTATGTCCAGAATAGAAGTAAATCTTTCAACCTTAACATGCTTAAAGCAAACAAAAAAAAAGTGTTGCAATTAGTAAGTTTTGTTCCTTCCTCTCATAGAATACTATCGCTACTGTCAGACTGTTGTTTACAAAAGTCAGCTGTTTTGTAGTGCAGTACATGTACACTACAGTATAATAAGGTCAAGAGTAGCAATTTCAAGGTCGATCTAAATATAATAAAGCGTACCATGCACAAATTTATGTGCACTTCAATTAACTGTAGAAAAACCTGCACGTAAAGTTTAAACTGTTACTTATCACGGTATCTTTTTGGATATTTCAATAATGTATCCTGCCAGATGCTGAAACTTTAAAGTGACATCAAATAACAGAATTGCATGCAAACGAAATATTAATTATACATCTAACGTTGCGTGCAACTGTCGTGAACATTGCGTGGCTGATCAATGCCAAATTGCCAATGTTGAAGATCGTACAAAGTTATTTAATTATAGATCTAAATATATTTTTTGTTTATTTTTTTGAGCTGATTGATAATTTTTTACGTAATCTAAGAAGAAAAGTAACGTTACATGTTGCTAAAATATCATCTTAAATTTATTTGATATTTTATAAATGATGTTTCTGAAGATTTAAATTCACATGTCGGTTCTTTACTAATTTCAAATAAAATGGGTTTTTGGAAGGATTCAAACGAGCTGTGTAAACCCTTCTCGCTACAATTAAACGTGTCTCGTAACTCGTTACAGTATACATGTAGGTTGCTATACGCTAATTATGCAAGGCGAAAATAAAATGAATATATTAATGACATGATGTTTTTAAAAATCTTTAAACTTGGGAAAAAGGAGATAAATATTTCAGAAAATTATGTTTGTTGAAAAGTTATCTATGTCTCTGTTCAGAATATTTGCCAATACGGCGCCAATTTGAAAATGCACTTAAATTAAACATCAAATATTTGTAAATAACATCGTGAAATTTTAAAATATTTTTACATGATACGATTAATATCGCTATAAAATCAATTTCTATCTTGTCATTTAACAATGCATAAATTTAAAAAAGCTCATGAAACTCGGACCTATTTTCAAATATGAGCAGTAGAAAAAAATCCTAATTTCATTGCAAAACTATAAAATTGTTACTTTTTAAAATATAATGTAGCCAGGGTTAGTTTTTATTATTTTTTGATTGAAAAAAAAATTGATTTATTTTGATTTTTGATTGATTTTTTGATTCATTTATTAACATTAAATTATAATTTGATTTCTGAATGGTGATGTACTGTGCCAGATCACGGTCGGTAGATAACCCAATCACATGACTCAACCGAGACATCATTTTTCGTAAATGGCCCGACTCCAAACCATTCTATTTGAAAGACCCTGCTAGGAGTCACCATATCAGACGACCTGAAATAGAGTGCTCATATAAGAAGGCAAACTCAACCCTAGGATCTCTAAGAATTAAGGAACCGGAAGCACTGCCCTAAATATCTTGTCGCAAAACAGCATTCCTGTCTCTGTTAAGCTCCCACCCTGGGTTACAGTTCATTTGGGCTATATTCCTTACCTTCAAAAGGGATTACAAACTTAGAAAATCCCCGAAACACTCTGCTAGGTTTTTTCCACGGATCTTAATTTCAATCCCTTGTTTATTCCCCAAGCGAAATACACCACCCAAATTCCCCCGGGTTTCGTCACAACCAAGCTTCGAGACCTGAAAACCCACCCCCTCTTTCCCGGACCGAAGTTATTTAAAAAATCATTTTTTGGTTCAATGTTTTTTGGGCCCCAAAAAAAAAAAAGTAGACCGGGCCCTTCCCAAAACGCCCGGGATTGCACTCGGGCAAACTCATCTCTCCCGGGTTTTTTTTAGGCTTTAAAAGGGCCCCCCCACGAGCCATTTCCGAAACCCGATCCAAAGCAGAAAATTAAAAAAAGGTGGCTTATCTCAGACAATGCAACAGCACAAGTTTGACCGTCCCCATTATACCCGTCTGTATACTCTACAACAGACTCAAACAAATCTGATCTGCAATTTTTATATAATATTTTTATTATAGGGATCACCTCATTTACAGACTTTTTTCTACCTTAACAAATACGACTGGAACAGTATGACAAATATAACAAATGCAATGACACTGGAATCAGAGTTCATGGAATTAGTTACAATGGATCGGTCTATTCTTATAGAACCGCCTTGGATCTGATTTTTACCGGATGAAGAAGAAATGATATCAAACAATTTAGGGAAAAGTGATCATGTATTTATATAAACTTTAAATAAGTTTGTTGTTAAAAACAAATTCAAATACAATAAAGCGAACAATGAAGGATGAATTGAATTTAATAGACTGGTCGGCTAGCTATTGGCAATTTCTAGAAGACTAATTGTAGAAACCCTTTCCAAACAAACAACAAAAATAAAAATACATTCAGGGCAAAATAATCGCAAAATTGATAAGGAAAACGCAAGTGTCATTAAAGAAACAAGAGATTTTTGTATAAGTTGCATGCCCCCTTCGTCAGCATGTCGGGCTTTGTATGCTATGTTGCTCGGAAACCATTTGCCATACAATGTCAATGTGACTTTGACCTTTGAGCCCTCCAAAAATGATCATTTACTGCAAAAGACCAATACATCTATGAAGTTTTAGAGTAATGGGCCCTCGCGTTCTCAAGTTATTATTGGTAACAATGTGGGGCAGACAAACGGACCCGCAGACGGACCGACCGACATCATGCTACAAAACAATATGCCCCCTAAGGAGGACATAAAAAGAAGACAGTGAATGAAATATAAACACAAGGAGAAACATTACACATACAATCTGAATGAATATAAAATAGCACGTAACAAGATAGGGATACGCATGAAACGTTCTAAATATATATATAAACAAAATATTGCAGGTAATATAAAGCAAACCCCGCAAAAAGTTAAGAGGGGTTTCCATTACAAATCAAAATCAACAAACTTTAAATAAATAGTTGATCTAAAAATCGCATACAAATTCAATATTATAAAGCATTTTATATCTGTATTTACAACAGAGGCTGAACCTATACCAGTAGCTGAAATTAAAACAAGCTGTATATTAGTTGACAATGAAATCATTTAAAACATTACACACAAAAAAAGAAGAAGAAAAAAGAAAGAAAAAAGCCGTTAAAAGAATTTAATCATTCTAAATTAGGAGGTTCAGACACATTAAATCTCAAAGTTATTTTCGAAACTAGTGAACCATTGTGTAGAACGTTGGAGATCTTAATGTGCACCACACACTTTATTGCACTTGTTAGAATATATAGAAGATTGGCCAAAGGCAAAAGATGAAGGTATATATATCTATAAAGTGTTGCAGCATTCGAAAGGTCCCCGCAGACGAAAACTTACTAAAGTCTAGAACTTTGGTATAAGAAGCAAGATAAACAATTGTAAGAAAACATTCAGCAGAACGGAACTTTTTCAGGATGGCAAACTGAAACAAGTGGTGTTCCCCAGTTAACTGTGACAGGACCTGTTCTAATTCTATTATTTATAAATGACCTTCCTGATGAAAAAAGCTAAATCCTTTGCAGACGACATTAAACTGTATTCTGTCATAAATGGGCATAATGATAAAATAAGTCTTCATGAAACAGTGACTTGTCAAGAAAACGGCAAATGCCAACTTCATATGGTTCACTGAAATGTGCAACGGTTAGAAAGACATGTTGGTTTTCGGTAAAAAATATATATCTGGTTAAACTCCAATATGACGACGCTATTTTCAAGAAATTGAACGATATGTGTTCCAGTTGTGATTTTTTTTCTTTATTAATAATGTTATTTGACCCTTATATATAGTTCTTCGATAGTTACCAATTCATATATTGTCATTTGATGCAGTCTTTTTCTGAACTTTTATTGTTGTCGTTTGATCAGGTGTATATCGATAAAGAAAATGACCGAAAACAGGCTCAAAACACTATTATTACTACAATCACACAATGTTGAGCCCTAATGATGAAAATCATACACACAAATCCTTGTTTGGACAATTCTTTGGAAATCAGCAACCAAGAAGATAATTATGGCCAAATTTCACATTGTGATCCATGTGCGATTATGTGTTCCATATGCAAACATAAAAATACGCTATGACACTAAGAATCTCCTCTTTGATAAATACAGAATGCACTGCTAGTTAACAAGCATATAAGAAAGAACAAACAAGAGCACCAGAAGCGGGCCAATATGTCCCCGATTGTAAAATTGCGTTGAGTAATCAAAAATAATCTTTCAATTAGGGGAAAACCCCAAGCAAAAATAAGGCAACACTACGAAAACACGAATAGCAATGAAAACTAGAAAGAAGTCGAGGTGTATGAATACCAAATCTAAACCAATGAGAAGGTGTTATGTTGAGGCTAAGAAACAGTGACTAAAATACCAAAAGGTAAACAAACCAATAAAGCACAATTAGTTATTTTAGGGCTTAAAATAATTCCATAGTAGTTATCAACAAACAAATATAAGATGTGTTTTCCTATACCTTAGTCTACATAAAGCAAGTGACTCCCAGGGCAGGACCAATTTTGACCTGAGGGTCATGATTAATATTACTTTTGTAGAAATCTACAAAATGATGCCACATACCAAATATCTAAGCTTTTGGCTTTGTAGTTTTTACAAAATAGTCATATGCAATAAGATTTAAATGTTTTTTCCTATATAAATTTCATCATTGCCATGAAAAAATGTTGAATTCTGCTTCCGTTTTTTTTTTAATTGATGACTAAACGCCGCTTTTCATGGAATGACACTTACATATATCAACATATGGATTACAATATGCATTTTAATCATAATTAACTTAATTAATTTATTGCTGATTTCTAAAGAATTGATAGGACATGTTTATTATCATCACAGATCAAAATTGTTTGATTGTTTTGTGTTTTGAGCTGATTTTCAGTAATTTTCTTCATCCTGATGTTGAATATTTGACACAACTAAACCCACGACAACAGAAGAATCTCAAATAAATAAATAAATAAATAAACAATGCATAAATGAGTAACTATCAAGGAACTACTTAAAATAGAGAAAAACTGTATCCCTAAAGAAAGCCAGGACGGCAAAATTGAAAATGTTGCAGACTCGCCTTGATTGAGCCTGTTCATGGACGGTACTGGAAAGTGCAAGTTACCATCCACCTAGCACCGACTTAAGCAGAGTTCAATATCTAAACACGAAAATGGTGAATTTTTTTTATTGAGAAACACCGGTCCCGTAGATGTGTCCATACGGCGGTTATCATGGAACCTTCCATGCGACACAGTATATTATACAGTATATATAGTGCCATTTCATGAAAAGCAGTGTATGGTCCAAAGTAAAGACTGCATGTGCCCTAAAGGAGAAAACAATGGGCGGAACTAAATAAAATGGAATTTTGAAAGCTGATCTGAAGTTATGAAGCCTGCATATCACAGACAAGACGTCAAAAGACAAATTTAAAATGCAAAGAACATATCCTAAGGGTGATTATACAGTACTAAGTATTTAAGTAGGAATACTGGAATCACCAAAGTTGAAAAAGGCCAAATATATGAAACTAAAAATACCACATAACAGGTATACACAACAATAATGTCGTGCTGAACGATCTTCAAGGATCGACAATATAACACCTTTGATTAAATGTACGGGGCCGCCACACGGCACAAATAACACCAATGTGACCATAAAATAGAGAAAATAGAATCTCTAAAGAAAGTACAACACGGCAAATTTGAAAAGGACGCATATCATGTCGGCTTTTTGTAAAATAATAGTTCATATTAACAAAAATAACTCAAAATTGTAAAACTTACCGTTCAATATCTTCCTCATATTAGAGTTTAAGCAGTACATGTTTTACCGGATCCCAACATATCTTTCTTATTGACGCACATTTCGGTGAACCATATGAAGTTGGTCCCCGTGAAAATGCACAAATATGCATATTGGGCATGTACCTTGTGACTTTTTTTATGAAAGGCTCAAATGATAAAATCTATTAAATATCTCCTTATTTTGAAAATGTGCAGTTTACTATATTTTTTTATCATAACGGTGCCCAGCGTTTCACACAAACAAATATTCTCAAATAAGACTGCATCATATAACAAACATAAATAAGTTACTATTGAGAGAGTATAAAGGGGAGAAAATATAAAGGGCTGGTCTAGCATTCTGAGGCTTTCAATCTAACAACAAAAGCTCGAAATAGGAAACTGAATGTCTCAATTTTTCGCTCTGCATAGGGATGTTAAAATCTCATATGGAACAAGAAGTATCTTTTAAAAAGGTACTCGGCTGAAGTATAACTGTTTAACATGTAAAAATTGGTATATTTCAATATAAAAAGAAAAATTAGCAATGCTTGCATTACAATGACATGATAAATTTTTCTTGTAGCTATTATGAAAATACGCATTTTGTAAACATTGAAATCAAATTATAGCATATTGATATTGATGATTTTTCTAAGAAGAAAAACTTCTATTTAAGGTGTCCTTTTTACTTGTTTTCCGTTTGCCTTATAAATTTTGTAATAATTTACAAACTAACCTAAAAGTGAAAGAACTTTCCTCATCCTTGTACATCCTATTCTAGAACTAGCCTAAACTTTTTAAATTATAGTAAAAAAAAGTATTTTGCGGGGTATTATTTCTTAACGGTAAAAGCATCTTTCATGTTTTAGCAATGTTTTTTTTTTCTTCTTGTTGTTAGTTAAAACTATTCTCACTAGGCTAAGATACATACAATGATATTTAATTATATGTTTCTACAATTATTACAGCAATGCATTAAATGATTTTCATTTTCAATTACATTTTAGTTGCACAAATTACACAATCGGTTTTCTCTGACTATACCACTATTAACGACCGTTTTCAATTTCTAAATTGTGTGAGCTATATGTATATGTAAAACGAGCGAAACAGATTCTAATTATGTCATTTATTTTCTAAATATAAATCTTTTAGCACAGTTGATTTGACAAAGAGGAAAAGCCAAATCATTTTCCGACAACATAATTATCATTTGACATATGTTATGAAAACATTAATTACTACTACCGTTCATAAACAGACTTGATCAAGGATCACCGTGTGTAGCTTTTACATTTACGGGTACTCTTCTCCTTATATCGTAAAAATAGGTTGGGTAACGGTAACGATATCATATTGGTAAAAAATACATGTACTTGGATCGGGCAAAAATAGGCGTGTCCCGTATCCTAATAGGTCAAAACAGTCCTGTAGCCCGATAGATTGGCAATAGCCAATCTAAAAGTATATAATAAATCGTCTTCTCACACCAAAATAAAAATAAAATAAATTGAAAATGACAAAAGAAGAGCACCTGGATGGATCAAGCTAGATTATGGTCAGACCTATAGCTTCACGGACATGCTTCAGTCCCTTAATCTTCGAAAACTGGAACTCAGACTATAGATGCTAATCTATCCCTTTTCTACAAGATTCACCATGGTCTGGTTGCTATAGATTCTACCCATGGATAGAAGAATATTTGACACCCCTCTTCCGGACATCACGCCATGTCCATCCACTGAATTATAGGCTCTTCAATCTGTCAAAAGTGGAAAGTACCTTGGGGTCAACATCGCAAATAATCTTTCATGGAACATACACACAGAATCTACCATCAAGAAGGCCAACAACTCTCTATCATTCCTTAGAAGAAACATCACAAGCTGCCCACAAGACATCAAGGCCCAGGCCTACAAGACCCTAGTTAGACGAATCCTGGAGTATGCAGGCACAGTCTGGGACCCACACACAGCCACCAACATCAACCAGCTGGAAGCTGTTCAAAGGCGTTCTGCCCGATTTGTAAAAGGCGATTACAAAACTACCAGCAGCACCACTGCCCTAGGCTGGCCAACTCTACAGCATCGGCGCTCCAATGCCAAGCTAGTGATGGTCTACAGGATCACGCACAACCTCATAGCCATCCCAGCTGCACAGTACTTCCACCCCCTGACACTTGGTGGCCATGGCTACGGACACAGATTCCATGTCCCATTCTGCAGAACAGACACCATGAAGTTCTCCTTTGTACCTTCGGCCATTCGCCTGTGGAACCAGCTTCCAGAGCACCTAGCCACAGCAGCCAACCTTGATGCCTTCAAGGGAGGACTAGTCATGGGGCCCTAATATGCCGGAGTCGATTTTATCTTTAACATGTTCTTCTTTTAAACCTGCACTTATTCGCCGCACAACACTTTGTACATACACCCTGTACGTCAATGCCCCAGAGTGGGTTATGTACAGTATTGGAAGAAGAAGATTCATGTAGCAACTTCAGACTATTATAATGTTACTCAACAACAAATGTCACCTATCGACATGCAAAATGCCTTTGGCCATATCTATAAAACATATGGCAAATGCAGACATATACTTTATAGATCTAATATATTCTTTGCTGGGACTGTATATTTACCATTGGAACCACCTAACCCCTGCAGTTGCCAGGGCTACTTCCTACCACAGAGCAGCTCAGTGCAGCGATGTATCACCAAGTCCCCTAAACCCGTTTTTAACATTTTTAATATTCTTTCTACCCTTATCTTTTAAAAAACTCTTTAACTTTGTACGCTGGTCAACATGTGATTGTCTACGTACCCATAAGGGTTTTGACATTATTGGAAAACAGATTATATAGATTGAGAAAATAGCCATTAATAAGTGTGGATCGCTGTTCTTTTTTGCCGCAGATCTTTATGTTTTTAAAAAATAACGGTAGATCTAGCTTTTTTCTACAAACTTTTAGTTTTTTTCCTTACTTTTGATATATAGGCCTAGTACGTGTGTAACATACTGCTTAACAATCATTTCCGATTATGACTAGCAGGCGCGTTGTCAGGGAACTGTTAATAAAAGAAATTATAAAATAATTTATATGAAAATTAAAAAGTTAAAAGAATAAAAGTACTACAAGACTATTAATTCAAAAGACATAGTGTGCGATTTAGAATTTATAGAATGGGTCAAGCCTCTCAGTAAAGATGCTGGGGCTAGACTGAACAGTTAGAGGAAGGCTATTCTAAAGACGTATGCTCCTAGGAAAGAAAGAATTTTGATGATATTGTGTCCTCGAGTAGGGTATCAGGTAGTTCAGATTCCTTGTTTGAGTAAGGTGTTGGTGCTCAACAAAAACAATGTTGTTTTGGATTTTATATAAGTAGGTTTAAGTACAGCACTGATATTTCGACGCTTTTCAAGGGGTTGCCAATTAAGATCATTTATCATTTTTGAGACACTAATTGTAGCCAAGTTGTAGGCCTATATAGTCATAATCATTAAAATATATCTAGCAGCTGATCTTTGTACTTGCTCTATCTTATAAATTAAGCTTACTTACAATAGCGCTATACTTAAAAGGGTCAAAGTGCACGTGACGAAAGGTCAAATGGCTTCAAACTCCTACAGAAATTTGATTAGCTTCGCTGTAGCGACAAAAGGGAACCATTGACATTGCGACTCTTATGTAAATTTAAAAATATCGCGCCAGTGAACATAAATCTAGCTAAACCCCGCAATCCGTAACATTCCGGACCGGGCATCTTGGTCTGCAGAAAACTTGGCAAGCGTTTGGATGCAGTTCGTGGACTTCCTATTGTTTTTGTAGTGCACATGTAAATTTATTCAAAGGCAGTGGAAGACATGAATAAATAAAGAAAGAAGCGCATATTCGCCCCCAATACAGCTAAAGGGAACAACTTCTGGCGATTAAAGTCGATATAAAATGGCTATTATAGTTGCATCACAACGTAATTTCTATCATGCACATTGCTGATTACACTTTCATGCTTGATGTTCTCGAAAATGATTGAGCTATTTGGTAGGTAGGTCTAAAGAATAATTTCCATTTCCACAGTGTGTGATCTGCATCCAATACTTACACAAACTTATACAGACTTGCAGTAAATGATATGGAGATTCGGTTTCTAGAGCATCTTTTCCCAGTACTGACAAGCCTAAGGTGCTTGAAACAAACTTTTTAAAGTTTTATATGGGCTATATACTATAATAAGATATCTTAATATACATATATAGACCGATTATGTAAAATATTTGATTATGTGACTAGCGCCTGTGTGGCAAGCAAGTAGTTATTTTTTAAGATATTTTAAGATATTATTTGATAAGCCCATTCACATTTTTTGTGGCATACCAAATTCAGCTTGTTGCTCACAATCTTCAAGATCCTGATATGTTGACATAATATTGAATACCACTAGTTTTCGTGGCTTGTATGGGGTACCAAATTGAGTAATTCTTTGGTTTGCACAAAATATAACGCAACATAATTATAGCACACCCTTATATCAGTCTTTTATTTTTCACTTAATATTGTTGAAAAGATTTTTCCAAATATGAATAATGTCTGTTAAGCAAATGCATTTAATTATAATTGGATTATATAGGATAAAATTCTGTTCAATAATCAAGTTATTATTATTTTTCTTATTAGCGTATTTGCCTATAGGTGGTAATGTTAGAGAACCCTGATATGGCTTCATACGACAGTATTTCTTGACATGCATACAAGGACAGGAAGCCCAAATGATTGCATGCCACATACTCACATGTCAGTACAATATTTCATTTATCAATATTTTGTCTAAAACTATTGCCACTGGGTAAAACTTACATAGGAGTTTTAGATTTTGGGTCCATTGAGATAAACAATTGATTAGTAGCTTATAGATATATAAATAACTACCTGTAGTGTAAAAAGTATTGTTAAGAAAAACCTGACTAAGGCAAGATTTTTTTTAACAAAATAGATGTGACCCTCTCTTTAATTCAACATCTTTTTTATCCTCATGAGATGTCTGGACTATTAAAACAAAATAAGATACTAAAAATATAATGAACATAGAGGTTTGAAAAAGAAGAAATACACATGTATATTGTTTAAATCATACAGTATAAAGATACTTAACCCTGATCACCCTGGGCACATTAAAAGGGTAGACAAATCTTGCATCTATTACTGTATACACTCCAGCAAGTTTGTCTCCCTGAATAAAGAAAAGAAAATACCATTTTAAGTATAACACTGATAACATAGTCATATTAGGTGTGCGCAATTATCTAACATCTCTTTTAAATGGCTTAGTTACCGAGGCAATTGCAAACATCTTTCTCTTTAAAATACTTGTGTCTCTAGAATTCTAAAACTACCCTATTCATGCCCCCTAATCTTGTAACATATTTATACTGAGTTTAAAAAGTTATTTACTTCACTTTTCTAGTTATTTATTATTGATTACTATCGTGTGTTTTTAAAAATAAACTTTTTAGATACTTTTGTAAAGTTTCCAATTACGAACTTTCAATAGAAATATTATGAATAGGAAAGTTTATTGATATAGATGTAAATATTTGAACAGACTTTAAAACTTTGTAAATCCTCTCATTTTAGGACAGATTTGGATTGTGTGGGAGTTAAAATCCGCAAACATGGGATATGAGAACGTTGTAAGTACCAATCATTATATATCGTTACATAAAAATGTGTTTACATCTTTAATGTATGCATTATGTTTGAATCTGTTGAAGTTAAGATTTATGTATGATTTTTCTTTAATATGTTATAATTATTATAAGATAATTGGGGAAAAATATTGTATCTGATTACTTAAATGTGAAATAAAGCCTTAAATTATGGCTTAATGTTTCATTTTCTTAATTTATGTGATGAACAATGTTTGTTCTATTTTGAATTTGTAATGGACCATTAACATTTTTAGTGATTTAAGTATTAAAATATTAAAATATAGCAGGTGTAAAGAGTCTATACGTAGGTTTTTGCTTGCTTCACTTAATACTTATTTCAGGTTAATATCATGTTAATCTAGTTTTTGAACTATGTAAATTATTTGCTTAACAAAAGACCAAGGCTGACTATAATATAAAAACACTATCAATGCCATTCTCAATTTTAATGTCAATTTTAACAAAATAGGCAAGGTTTTAAAAACATCGAGACAAACAGTTTACAAAAATGGAGAAGGGATATGTAAAAATTGAGGCCAGTCTGTTGAACAAATGCAGATATGAAATGAAGATGATTTTTACAAGCTTAAGAATTGTTTATACAAATACTTTAGTTGCAAAACTAGTGTTTTTATTAACCTTAACCCTACATAAGATGTTTTAAAAGTTCTTACTTCAAAGCCCTTTAAGCAGCACCTTTTAAAATCTCAGTACTTTCAAATGCAAAGCAAGGGAAAACTAAAGTACAATTTTAGTTACGTTTTATGAAAATGACCAAGAATGTTGGGTCACCGTCTTTCATCATGACATCATTGACATATTTCTCTTAAAATATTTTAGATGTTGCATTCCCATGTTGACAGCAAAGTGTTAATTGAAGTTTGATAAAAATCTTATTCAAATATGTATCTACCTCTTATTTTAAAATTCATTTTGTAAAATTTCACATTACAGTCTGTTGACTTGATTATTAACAAGTAATATTTATCCCTGTTTGTTTATAGTTTTTATAAGATTTAGGGGTATTGGTATAAGTAATAAATATTGTATGTGATACATGTACATATGATTTGCACTTAAGTTTCATATTAACTGTAAAAAATGTCTATAATGGAGAAAATCATTGTCTTAATGCTTATAAGCTGCGATTTTTTAGTTTGAATTCCATGTAGTGCTGTTTTATTTTGTAATGGCATCATCTTGCCATGAACTAATGCATTTATTATATATGATATGTCCTTCTACTTGAATCCGTGAAACATAGGATTAACAAAAGGAATAACCCATCCTAAGCTGGTCATACAAACACATTGTCTAAGCATGCTGAGTATTGTTTAAGAATGCTCACTGTGTATTGTTTGAGCATGCTCACTGTGTATTGCCTAACATGGTCAATGTACATTGTCTAAGCTTGCTCACTGTGTATTGTATAACATGCTCACTGCAAATGTTTAAGGATGCTCACTGTGTATTGTCTAAGCATGCACACTGTGTAATGTCTAACATGTTCACAGTGCATTGTCTAAGCATGCTCCCTATTATTGTTTAAGCATGCTTCCTATTATTGTTTAAGCATGCTAACTATGAATTGTTTAAACAAGCTCACTGTTATTGTCTAAGTTTTGAACATGCTCACTTTAAACCATGCTCATTGTGAATTGTCTAAGCATGCTCTATTGTTTAAGCATGCTCAATTGTCTAAGCATGCTCACTATATATTGTCTAAACATGCTCCCTTTGTATTATTTAAGCATGCTCACTGTGTATTGTTTAAATATGATCACTGTATTGTCTAAGCATGCTCACTTCGTATAATTTAAGCATGCTCACTGTGTATTATCTAAGCATGCTAACTTTATATAATTTAAGCATGCTTACTGTGTATTGTCTAAGCATGCTCACTTTGTTCTATTTAAGCATGCTCACTGTGTATTGTCTAAGCATACTCACTTTGTATAATTTAAGCATGCTCACTGGGTACAATTTGAAACTTATCCTACAAAATTTCTTAAATGGACTTGTTCAGTTTCCATTTGGAACTGTTCATTTTGAATTTTGGAGATATGAAGATGAAAATTTGAAGTTAGTCATACAACAGTATAGAGCCTGGTCAGACTATACATTAGTGCAAGCAGAGCTACAGATAATTTTTTAGACAATTAGTTTTTTTACTCTCTGAATTTAAAGCTTATTCATTTTCATTAACTTGCAATAAAGTTTAAGTTGCAATGTGCATAGAAGTCTGTTCTAAAGTAAATTTTCAGCCTGGGCTAAGGCTGTCTCAGTTTTGATTTCAGCAGGTTAAGGGTTGAGAAGAATTGTATAAATCTTTTAAATGATCAAAAGACAAACTTTTATATCAGATAGTTGAATGTGTTGACCTGCTATAAAGGTATAGATATCTTCATGCTTTTCTTATTTGAATTGTTTTATTAGGACCATATATTTTCTTAATGTTATCTCACCTTTATCCAACTCTTTTTATTAGGAGATTGTAAATCTTGAATTTAATAAATAAAGTAAATTAGATATGCTATGCTTTGTTTATATCTGATATTGATAGAAGTAAAAATGAGCTGTGTCATGACAAAACCAACATAATGCGTTTGCGACCAGCATGGATCTAGACCAGCCTGCGCATCCGCGCAGTCTGATCAGGATCCCTGCTGTTCGCTTACAAACCCTATTACAAGTAGAGAAACTGATAGCAAACAGCATGGATCCTGATCAGACTGCCCGGATGCTCAGGCTGGTCTTGATCCATGCTGGTCGCATCCCACTATGTTGGTTTTGTCGTGACGCGGCTCAAATGTTTTCCAAGTGACTATATATGCGGAGTTGAGCTACAATATGAAATATGTACAGATATTAATTTGTTTTATATTTTTGATTAAGTTGTGATAACAGAACATGGGTGAAGGATTTCAGTATTGTAACACAGTGAAATGTACACTTTGATGTATATTAATTTCATGGAAGTTTGAGTTTATGATAACCTGTATATAGTTGGCCTAATAGCTTTCACTAGTCATCCAAAAACATCAATATATATTGATACAAAACAATGTAGAGAAGTGTTACTGACAGAGGGAGATATATAGGAGATATTACGATGTCCCCCTCCAGATAATCTATAATGACATTGTAAGTCCAGTTTGTCTCTTGTTATTACATGTATATGAACTTACACACACTTCTTGACCAGAAAGTCACAACTAATTTATTGCTTATAGTTTGTATATGAAATATTTCCTGTGACAAATATTTTCATGTAATATATATAATAATATATATTGTATATCAAAAAATATCTTCCCTCTTTGAATAAATGTTTTATTGCATATTGTTATTTATTAAAATGCTTTTAAGATATGGATTTCTTGAATTGACCAAATCATTTGTAGGTTGGTTTGGATATAATTTGGGTTAAAAAAGTCACACTTTATGCATGTGTTAATTGTAACTATAAATTATAATATTCAACCCTTCACCTGTAGAATTTGAATGTATGTCTGACCAGGCTCTATACAATTGACTAAATAACTTAAAATTGTCCTTAAATTGATAATGGACATTCTCAAAATGGAAGCTGTTTATCCATTGGGGTATATAGGGAATGAAAATAGCCCACTTTCCTAGATATCAGTGATACAAATGACAGTTATGGAGGCTGTTTAATACACATGTAGCAAGTTGAGCAAACAACAGTACTATAAACATGACAGTATGACTTTATAATGACAGCATTTATGATTCTATAATTTTTACTTACATCGCTTAAAACTTTGAAAATGCTGAGAATGTTTTAATAAATGTCCCTTAAATGATATGGAAATCACAAAATATTATTGCATGCCCTCTTGCTTATAAATTGAATCTTTAGAAGTGATTCATAAATGTCCTAATTGATTGTTCCAGCAAAATACTATCATCAACTTTATACAAAGCTGTGCCTCTAAAATTGAAGAAGTATGTTTCTTTGAAACATTTCTACCATAATTACTTCTTGCATGCAAAATGACTTATAGATTCAGTGGACTATAGTATTCCTTCCACTACAATTTATTTCTTAATATGGAAACACCATTTATAAATTTAAGTCCTTACTGTCTAGAAATCAATTTAAAAAAGAGTTTTTCTTGATATAATGGCGTAATTGACAAATCCACTCGTCCATTTGTAATTTTTGAGGAAAAACTGACTCTGGGTGAGTAAAACTCCTAGCAATGCTGGTCCATCAGGACGAGTGAATTTTCTTGCTTCCAATTCAATTAAATTCTTTATTCACTTGAAAAATTAATGGATTTCAGTTTTAATTGCAAATAAAACAGGATACAAAATATTTACCATTTTAGATGTGCAAAGCAAATGTTGATTTTTTGAATAGTATGCTAAATTCTGTCCGATTCTGGTACAGTCGCATATGCTAAATTCTGTCCGATTCTGTTACAGTCCCATATGCTAAATTCTGTCCGATTCTGGTACAGTCCTATATGCTAAATTCTGTCCGATTCTGGTACAGTCCCATATGCTTAAAGCTCGTTGGAGCGATTGTGTTAGGTACCACTTACAAACTACTGCTAAAAACTTGTATGTTCACCAAAGTAAATCCATCTAGCTTACGGAACATCGGTGGTTTTACTCAGGTGCCCGTTCGTGCCTGAAAAAATGCACGGAAGGGCTCCTGAGGTCTTCCTCCACCAGTAAAGCTGGAACGTCATGATATGACCTTTACTGTTTTGATGTGACGTAAAACCCAAAACAAACAAACAAAAGTAAAACAGAAACAAGATAGTTGATTTCATATTCTATACTGAGTTTAAGCAAATAAATACAAAATTACAGTATAAAACCTGTGGTCAGTAACTTTACAGTCTTGTGAGTGTTGTCTTCTTTATTGTTATTATGAATGTTGTCAGTAACTTAATAGTCTGTCAGAGTTGTCTTCTTAATTGTTATTATGAATGTGGACAGTAACTTAAAGT